ATTCTAAAATATTGACTTCTTGGGAAGTACAAATTGTCTTGATACAGATGGGACTTGTTGCGAGAAGTCCTATATTGGACTGTATAGTTGATTCTCTGGGGAAAAATACAATGGCTTATTTCCTACAGATGTGATGACATTCAAGCAGTATTTATAAATAAATCTAATTAATGAAGTTTATCCATGATTGTAAGGCCATACTATACTCTTGAAAATAATACTTAATTGTTCAATACAGATTCATTTTGCTCAAGGCAACCAATCTTATAATCTTTTAAAAATGTGCCCAAGCTAGGTTTTAACATGCCCTCAAGTGATGAACTGCTTGCCTGAAACAGGTATTGGTCAAACACCACTATAAACAAGTAGCTTTCTCTACTACTGTCATTTGGTGTAGAAAGCAATCTGTATCTTATTGACCTGTTTTTATTTTAATTTCTCACTTTAAAAAAAAATAGAGGCTGTTTTAACAGTAGATGTATTTTCAAGGTATTTACCAGTGTTACATAGACTATTAAGTATATTTTATGACTGGAAAGTCTGTTTTTCTGTATGATATGATGCCCAGGTTAAGTTCATTTCTGTCTACACCAGGGGTGTCAAACTCAATTTCATTGAGGCCGCATCAGGTTTGTGTTTGACCTCAGGGGCTGGAGTGGGCATGGACAGGGTGGGCGTGGGCAGTTCAACGTCACTTGTGTTGAAGGGGCTGTGGTGGCCCAAGTGCTCTGCCAGCGAAAACAGGCTCCCAAGCTCCATTTTCAGCTGTGACAGCTTCCTGCAACCCTCTGCCAGCAAAAACAGAAATCGTGGGGGGTACATATGGCCCTTCAGAGCTCTGTTTTCACTGACAGAAGCACCACGGACATGTCCTTTGTTGTTTCCAGGGCAGCCCCATGGACCAGATCTAAGCATCCTGCAGGCCAGATCCTAACCCTAAGCCTTTACACTATACTACACACCAGACACTTACTAACATACTCTCTGTATAAATAATATCAATGCTCTGTATCTTTTTAGTATATACTATTATTTTAGTGCTTGTAAAAATGGATAACCAAAAC